TTGTTGAACTGCAACATGGCACATTAAATCATTATCCAATGTTAAAAAAGTTTGTCAGAAATTATTATTTAATTAAAGACTCAAAATCATTGACGTTTCTACTTTTACAGTAATGCATCCAACATGATCTTAAACTAGAGGCAAACTGCAAATGAGTTTCCCCCATCAACCTTTGAGCTTGGCGAAAGTTTTCGAAACATAATTGACGATTGTTCATATTCCTTAAGGATTAAAGATTTAATTTCCTCATAATCTTTCAAATCATCATCTTTAATATATACTAGAATATTAGAAGATTTATCACCTATAAGTTTAAGTAAAATTTCATGATTAAAACTCATTTGGTACGTTCTTTATATAGAATCAAAATATAAATTCCATGCTTCATCCTTTTTAGGTACAGAAATCGATAATGCCTGTACAGCTTTCAAAAGCTTGTCTAATGAAAGTGTATTTTCTACGTTGTTACTGGATTCGCTGCTACTTTCGATTTGCATCAAATACGGTTTCGCAATTTCCTCTGACTTTTTCCTTTCTTCAACCGTAGTATTAAGGAATTCAGTGACAAAATCTTTATCTTTCAAATATTTTTTAAAACTTAAAAGCTTATCTTTTAATTCTACAACTTTTAAAATGGAATCGGCTTCTTCACCGAGTTCCTTCAACACTGAAATCAAATCACTTTTAATTACTCCCTTAAACATATTTATAAGAAATTTTCTTTAAAAATTACAGCAAAAAATTTTCACATTTTCTCAAAATCCATTCACCTTCATTCTCTGGTTCTCGTAAGAGAACATGCTATCATACGTGTTGGGATGGCAGAGATGTGACACAATACATTATTGGAAAATGAATCCTTTATTATATAGAAGCACGACTTTTATGTACAAATATTTACATGACGTTGATATTATATGATTTAAGAAAATAACTTCAATGAAACACAGTTGTTTAATACCTTACAAATTAATCCGCTACGCTGGATAAAATTGAACTCAGGCATAAACGCCTTACCACACTTTCTGCAGACAGCTCTTGTCTGTCTCACTTGCTGGATTCTTACCGCGAAGCAGGCAGCTGATTGGCTGACCACAGCCAGATGCATGACATTTTCATTTCATATCTTTAAAAAGCCTATGAAAATGTGTCATTATTATTATTATTATTATTATTATTATTATTATTATTTTAATTTTGTGTGTATGTGTGTGTCTAAAATGCTTCCCCTTCAAAATCTTACATATGTGAAATGTAGGTTTGTGTGATATTCAAGTTTATGACAAGTAAGATGATTGCTTTTATAATTTTAGGCTGGAAATTTAATCCATTCATTTGACTGTTCTACCTTAAATTGTATTTTTTTTCACTCAGCTATCCAAAAATTTAATGTATGTACCATTTCCAGACAATTGTGCCTTTATTCTGTTGAACGTGATGTGTATGCAGTTTATTTTTACACACCCTTTTGCGCTAAAAGCAGTTTTTATTTGTAACTTTTATTATGAACCTTTTAATTTAAAATTTTCTTTTTTCCAGTATTAAGAGATTTTTTTTTTTTTTTTTTTTTTTTTTTTGGATTGATTCAGTCTTGAAATTTCTGACACTCATCTTATTTTTATTATTTAAATAATTTGACTGTTGTTCTTTTATAATTGCTGTGTGTGGTTTTCTCTAAATTAGATTTACCTAATTTAAATTTTTAATAATTCTGCAGGATGCGAGTATTGTAAAATGATCGTACAATCTTTTTTTTTTTTATAAATTAATACAATGCTTGAATTTAATGCAATTAATACAATATTTGTTTTTCTGCTTCATGCATAAAAATACTGTTGCTCCTACGTTCATGCATGTACACTTCAGCAAATTAATCCATTAACTGCCTAAACTACAAGGAATGACTCTTTTTCTCTGGAAAATAATAACAAATATTAAATTAAACATTTATAACATAAATTTACATTGAAAATTTTAAAAAAATGCTCTTACCCGTGGAAAAAGTGAATGTTGCATTCACGCAACATCAGCGTAATAAGACTACAGATGTTTAGTAAGTAGGATTGTACTTGTGCTATGCTTCCTTGAGTGGAGCACTGGATTACTTTTTACTTGTATAACGTTTTATAAATCTACAAACCATTTGTAATTAATTTAATATTAAAATATACATTATATTTCTTTTATAAATACAATACAGATTATTTATCAGAGGATTTTATCTTTACAAATACAAATTATTTCAGTTGAAAGATTCAAGCATGAAAAGCTTCACTATAATCATGATGTAAAGCTACATTACATACTTTGCATCTATAAACAGTCTGGCTATGGCATTCTTTACAATGAACTCTTTTGTTATCTTCGGACTTTACGATGAAATGTTTATGCAATAGTCTCCATGCAATAGTTTTTGAATGCTGAATTTACTAGGTCTTCCTGTTGCTGATCTAATTCTGGCTAATTCTAAACTCTCAATAGGAGTGTATGCAATCTTGCGTCTGAAATCTAAAAGAGACTTTTTATTTCCAGTAGTAGAAAGTCGTGATATTTACCATGCATTTATTTAACAAGGCTACATCAATGCAATTAGTAAATATTGGCCACCATCATTTTTTGCCACAAACTCTTATTCTGTAATTGGTTACTAAATTGTCACATAAATCGACTCCTCCCATTTTGGTATTGTATTGTTCGATAAGATGAGGCTGAGATATAAAAACCTTTTTCCTTTGCGTTTTTACTCCTATCCACTAATTTTACCTTGTATTTTGTCTGTTATTAGTTTCTCTTCTATCTCTTTCTTCATTTTCTTCCTGAGACATAACTGATGGTTCCTTTTTTATCCATTTCAAGTTTTCACTTTTCTGCTTTTTAAACTTTTTCATGTGACTAGCACTGCTTTTAGAAGGCTGAAATTTAAAAATATTATTGTCATTCCCTTCTTCTTCATCACTAGCTTTTGCAATTTCTGGGGGAACAACAACAATATCGGTTTCATTCTGCTCATTATTAACATTATTATCATCTATTTCTTCATCAAAAAATCTTTGAAGGTCTTCTTATGATGTGAGATACCTTGTTATAGACATTTTTAAAGCAGCCAGAACATCGAAAGAAATGAGTAAAAAATTAGATTACCTGTTTCCTGCTGACGTTGCGTCAGCACAGCACCTGTTTTCCCTTCCTTCCCAACATAAATATAAACATCTGATTGATGTAATGTTCTGATAAATGGTGACCTTGACTAAAAATATATCACTAAAAAAGATGGTGATTCTTTTGTTAAATATTTTCGGCAAAAATACCGGGTCAAAAATTTTGCTTAAAGTATGAGATTAATTATTTATAAACAAAATGATTGTTGAAGGCAATTATTTTTTTACAGAAATAATCTTCATAATATTTCCTACACAAAATCATCTGCTGGTATAAAATATATTAGGTAGTTATATGCGCATTTATTTTGACCGTTGCGTCAATGCAACACCAGCAGCTAATGTGGTTGAATAATGTCCTTCTAGTTTTCGAGCTGCCTAGAATTTTTCCATGAGCAGGATATGCATTTCTTGCAAGAATTGTTTTATGTGTATCAATTCTTTTGCTAGTAATGATCATAAGAAGGAATTTGAAGTAGTTGTAGCATCTCTTTTATTTTTATATAGGTTAATAATTCTTCTCTCTTTATGTTCTACTGAAAGTTTACATGGAATTTATCTGATTGAGGTGATTTGAATGTCAAATGGACATCATAATTTGCTGCAGAATAATTATGTAATACGCATAATTTTGCAATTGCAGATATTTCATTGTAGCTATTGGTTTAAATTGAGAAGGGCAAAAGTTAATAGTATTACTTTATGAAAAGCCCTCACCAGTAACCAAGTAGTTAAGATCACTGAATAGTGGGAATTCAACCCATATTCTATACCAGGCAAATGGGCTGGCTGCATGGTTGCTTTTTATGATTTTTTTCCATGTGTAACAGTTTCCCTTAAAATGTCCTCCACAAAGGCAACAATTTTCTTAGGCAGATAGCCCTAGTGAGTTTTGCCGTATTCAATTAACCTAGCCTAAGCTATTTCTGTAGATGATTTAAGTGTCATATTGGAATTTTTATGTAGCGAACCAATAATTAGAAGTAGTTGCTTTTGGAATTTTGCGTAGTGTTGAAATGCCACTAGCAAACATTGTGGGTGAAATTGGGTGCAGAATTTCTTCAAATTAAGGTACACAATAAAAATTGGAGCAATGTACTGATTTAGTGTTATGATTAAATTGTTTAGAGTTATGTAACATTATTAAAATATGCAAAGATACAAAGCAATAAAAATGCTTCAGTATTGAAATGACACTGATAGACATTCTAGTATTAAATGATATATGAATATGCTTTTTATCAATAAAACAAGTTTTTATGCTAGTAGATGTAAGGGAAACATGCCAACTTGAATTAAAAATTTGGCAGAGTTTAACCTCAGGCTGGCATTTATGAATTATGTGCATTTCAAGTGAATCTGTTTTAGCTCAGTTTTTATTTTTGTTGTTTAAGATTCAGTCATAGTTTGGTTTTGTTGAATAAGAGCAAACGTCATAATGAATTTTCAAGATTTTTATGCAACATTTTTAAATGGCATACTATACAAAGAAAAAAAGATGCTCTATTCTTCATAAATTAATTACAAATCCAAGAAATTGTGGTAATTTGCATAGGAATGCTATAGTTTTTGTATACTTGATCTGAGCACTGTAGAAAAACTAGTATGAGTCATCATGTGGTATGGAACTTTTTTAAATGAATGTTACATTGCAAAATAGCTTAACTTGCCAGCTTAGTTGATAGAATGTAATTTAAATGTTGTCTTAGCTGTTCTAAAAGTTTTTTTGCCTTTTTTCCTTGTCAAGTCAATAAATATGTTTTTGTGAAAAAAAATAATTTTCATAATTTAATAAGAAGCAATATTAAAATTTTGAAGTTTTTGTTTCTTCTTTATTTTCAGAAATGTGCTGTTTGTGGTGAACAATTTCAGTTGTTTTGGGTCGAAGAAGAAGAAGAATGGCATTTAAGGCATGCTGTAAGACATAATGAACAGGTATGGTTATACATAAATCAGCGATTAATTATTATTATTTTGTTAATTAAATTTGATAGTAAGAAACAAGCTTCTCACTTTTTTATGTGCATGAATGTAGTCTATATGGGATAAACTAAATTCTTCTTGGTTTTATCCAAAATTTAATAGTGTCATTTTTAAGATAATTAACAAATATTTACAAAGTGGAAACCATGTTGTAAAAATGGTATGTTTGCTTTTTCCTACAAATGGGATTCTGTGAACACTGTTGAAAACTTCCACTGTAGGAAGTTAAACTACTTAAAAAAACTATTCTTATTGAACATCAGAAATCTGGGTCACACTACTCTGCATGGAAGCGAAAGGGATGTTCTGTATCATTTTAATCCATGTTTGTAAATCTCTAAGCATGTGACGCTTTCCTGTTCTGTTATGCTACAATTATAGAGAGTTTGTGGGCTTCCTTGAAGGTGATTAATCATTTCATTGTCATATAACTTTCTTTTCTTGCAAATACAGCTTTTTAAAAAATGCATGGTGGTTTCAGTGTTGCCTGCCTGAGTGACAGCAAATAAAATACTAGATGGAAATCGCAGAACTATTTTTTGCAGTCAGATTTTTTGTGATTATTTTTATAATTTTATGAAATTTACATTTCAATATTAGTATATATTCCCCTCCCTATGAATATTTTATTTATTTAAGAAAAATGGGTAGATCTTTATGATAACTAATAGTGTGCTTAATTTGAACAATTGACTGATTCGGAGAAAATATGAAAAATGAATATATAGGAATAAAAAAAGTAGTATCTCTAAAGCAAATATAAAAAGAGATTTGGGTATTTGTTGGAGCAGTATGAAAATTAATTTCTGAGAGAGAACAATTGTTGATCATTCTTGAATTCTAGTTTGTTAAAAAAGAAAATACCTATTGTGAACATATCAAGACATGTTAAGAGCATAAGATAAATGCCTTGCTTTTCTAGTGACAGTGTCTTGTAGTTTCTCATTTGATAAACAGGAGTTTGTGTTGGATTGTTCCTTGAAATGTAGAGGACTCTCTGTTTAACTTCATTGCCAATGTATTTTGATGCCTGAAGTGATTGAATTTGGAACTTAAATATAGTATTCTGTCAAATATATTTTTATATCAATTATGTATAAAAATTCAGTGTATGTGTGATGCATTAAATGTCTTTTTATATTGATTAATTTAAATTTTTTAGGCTTATCATCCAGCATGTTATGAAGATTTTAAGAAGGTATGATATATATTTTATATCTATATATATTTATGAATAATTTATTTTAAATATTTTTGTGAACAGAATATTTTGTTCTGAGATATATTTTGAAGTTATGAATTTTTTATTTTCAGACTCAGTATTTAAAATAAATTTTTGTTTTGATAATTTATGTTAACTTTTCATGGTAAATATTATGAATGCATAAGATAATGTGAAGATGGGTAGAAAGTTTTTATGGTTAAGTACACAGAAAAGTATTAAAATTTGTTTATGCTCAGAAATATTTTAAAAGAGAATATTTGTTATCAATCTTTTAATTGTATACTTTGAGCATCAAAATATTTTGGTAATGTCTACCTTAAAAATTCCTTTTAAATATTAATATTGCAAGTGAGGAATTGGGGCTTGTTCTCCCTTCTAAACCAGCTTGAATTATAGAAATAATTTCATCATTATCTAAAGGTAATTTTTTAAGCTAAGATAAGCTTGGGCTCAAGGGATTAAACTGAATTTTAAAATCTGTTTATCTTCTTCTTATATTAAATTGAAGATTTCTTAAATGCATATAATATTTTAAGGAATGTGAGCATTTTTATCAAATAGGCTTCAATAGATTTTTAATTCAGAATTTTCATTTTATAGGCTTCAGAATGTGTTGAAACTACAAATGTTGAAGAAGTGCCTTCTCCTATAGAAGAAGCAGATGAAGAGTCTGATAAAACACAACTGCCATCTGTTTCAGATGAGCTTGATGTCACATTCATAAAACAAGAAATTATAGATGATGCTGGGGAAATAAAAATTGATACAGCTATAGAAAGCTCTGAACATTCTGATGAAGTATCCATAAAAGTAGAAGAAACAAATAACAGTCAAAATGACAATGCATCTAGTGAAGTATCATTGAACATAAAAGTAGAAGCTGATATTGAGAGTCATACAGCTAGTACAGACGTTGAGTCATCTGAGCAGACTAATGAAAACATTGAAATGGCAGTTGTAAAAATGGACACTGATGTAACAGAAGTGCAGCTGCCTAATGCCAAAGAATTAAAAGTGCAAGTACCTGATGCCAGTGAAGTAGATGAACAGTTGCCTAGTACCAGTGAAACAAAGATGCAGATATCTGATGTCAATGAAGGACAGTCATCTGATGTCAAGCCTAATGAGGAAGCTAGTACAAGCTTAGACATTGAGGAAGAACCTGAATTCCGTCCTCCAACCCCAGATCCTAGATTTCAAGTTATGGAGCCTGTTTCTAGAGGAACAGAACTATCAGCATTATGTTGCATCATGTAATTAATGTTTGGACTTCTGTACATACAAAAAAATTGTGATATTGTATATAGCAAAGTATCTGTGATCAGAACAATAAAATGTTCTCTTTTTATCAGATTTGAAAATTAGTTTACAATTTTAATTTAAAATTTTATTTTACAATTATTACTAACAATTATAACTTCTTTGTGTTTGGCATAACTAGAAAAATTCTCATCCAGAGAAACTTATGAGCCAGAAATTTATGTTGTTTAATACTTCAGTTCCATCTGCTTGTATTATGAAGACGTTCAGAATAATTATCGAACTATGATAGTTCTCAAACTGTATAGTTTCCTAGTATAACTTCAAAAATTAAGACTTTTTTCTCTCTCTAAAGCTGATTGGGAAGCTTTAGAGAATTAAAAAGACTTTTGAGTAAAAATCCAAACCTTTTGAAAGTTACTAAATGTTTCATGATGTGAGTGTGAATTTTGTTTAAAAAATCAGTCCCTCAGTATGATAATTTTAAGCACCACACCCTTGTAATCACTAGTCTATCTCATCTGACAGAGATATAAAGTAACTAAATTTTTATTTATAAGATTAAATACTGCCCTTTTTTAAAATGCTAAAATTGTATCCAAATTGCTTGCTTAATTTATTAATTAAAAGAAAACAAAGAGTTAATATACTAGCTTCTGAAAGATACATACTGTGTTTTCTTATTATATTATTTAAGTTAATAAAAAGAATTAAAAATCTGAGAACAAATTAATAAAAGCTTAATTTTACTTAACTTAGAAAGAAGAATAGTTGTATAAACTGGAGTTCTACTGTACTAGGGAAAAAAATATATATATATTGAGATGAATTGCAGCCATTTTTGAACAAAATTTTCCTGATCACATAGACAAATCCCATTTTTTAATTTATAATAGATTGCTTATTAATTGTTCTAGTAATTAATAGCAGTTTTAAATTAAGCAATGAATATATGTATGGGAATGTAGTTGTTTAAAAGTTGATCCTAAATACAGTTTGACTTTTATCACATTAAAATTTGTAGTGCTTTGGTGAACACTGAAAGTTAGAGTACTGCTGATTGGAAAGGAATTTACATTATCTGCACATGTACACTGCGTTAAAAAGAAAAAAAAAAAAAAGGAAGGACAGTTCTATAGCTTCCGTTCTACTGAGCCGTTTGACGAAATTCAAATTGTCTTTTTCATGTCTCAAAAGTGTGATTTAGGATATATATTAGATTTATATATAGCTCTATTTTAACATAGTTATTTTGGCATGAAATCGGACTTTTTCTGAAATAACATAATTTTTTCCACATTTCAATTCTACGACTCAATTTAAAAATTATGCCCAAATATGAAATTTCGTAAAATTTGGTGCGAAATTTATGGAGAAATTCACAAATTTATGTTGCCGCTTTTGTTCCAGTTTGCACCAAGAATGGCGAACTTCTTAATATATAGCAACCTATTTTCCTTTACCATGAGAGGAAAAAAAATCACAACATTCTTTCTTTCAAATAATGTTCTTTATATTATATTTTTATGTTATTATTTTAAATACTTTTTTTTCTTTTTCGAATTTCATTTTAATTGTTGCATGGTTTCTTTCGAATAATTGTTTTAAAAATTTTTCTGTGTACCCATTCGAACTGTGTGGTAATTTGAATGTGTAGGTGCATCGATAATTTTGTTTTTCAAATAGTTTTCTTTATAATTTTTTTATGTCACAGTTATTATTTTAGGTAATTAAGTTTTTAGACTTTTTAAAAAATTTTTTGTGTTGCATTGTCTCTTCAAATTTTCTATTTATTAATTCAAACTGAGCATTTTAAATATATTTATTAATGTAAATTTTTCGGGATTTTATTTTATTTATTTGAATTGCATTTCTTTCGGAAGAATACTTTGTGTCCCAGACTATGATGCATCTGAAAACTGAATATATTAAAAGGGAAAATACAGTAAAGCACTTACGCCTTCCATTTCAATGTTCCGTTCAGAAAAGCTATGTAGATGAGAAATATATATAACCGATATTTTAACTTAGGATGACTTTCATATATTGCTTTAAATAGCTTTAACATTGGGCTCATTGCTTTACACAATTTTATCATCCTAGATTTAGTTTCTTAATATGTTAATCATATTTTAAGCAAATATTTTTATTTTTGAAATTGCAAAAATATCATAACATTAAAAAGTTTTAAATTTTTAAAAAATACTAAATTTTATGCAAAAATTTATTTTTTCTTCTTAATGTCTTGCTCTTTTTCTTCAGACATTCTGCAAGTATATTAAAAAGCATCCAACTTTTCGAAACATCTTGGTATCTGACATTCATTTTAAATAAAATTATCGTCTTCCATTTCATGAAGGCCCACAAACAGCCAAGCGATAAAGTCGCTGAACACTGTTAGTTCGCTCCGTGGTTCAAATCCCGGCGAACAGGCTGGTTGCAAGGCCGTTTTCGTGGTTTTTCTCATTGTAACGTGTATGCCAGCTGGTTTCACTTAGAAAGTTCTTCACAAAGGCATCCCTCCTTTTAGGGCAGATAGCCCTGCTTTGCCGTAACTTAATAAACCAATTCAATCCATTTCATCAGTACTTGGTCTGAGCTTTATCAGTCTTTAGAGACTAAGCATTTTAAAGCATGAGATGAAAGGAAAGACTGGTTTCTTCAAGAGGGAAAATGCCTTTAGGTGACATCCACATACATCACTGGATAAATTTCTGAATATTCAAATAATTTGACTAAGAAATCATGGGATTCTCCATTTATGATGATAGGATGCTCTATAATGTAATTTAAATTTATTCATTTATTATTAATTAAATTTATTAGTCGAAAACCAGTCACACTTCACTTTAATCTGCAATGATATCGTTTTTGTCTTTTCCATTAGCACAAGCTCAGTTGATGGTATTTGCTGGTATACACATCCAAGCAGTAAATACAGTAAACTTTGTAACTAAACAGTAATTAAAGTAATACAGTAAACTTGTAACTAAAGTAATACAGTAAACTTTGTAAACTAAACAACAGTCTCTTTGAACACCTGAATTCCTTGAAATATTCTGAAAGTATATTTAAAAGCATCCAACTTTTCGAAACACTTTGATAATTCTCACAGCCAAATTCTCTTCAAATTTTTGCTTAGTTTTCTCCCTAATTTTCTTCTTTCTTTCTACATTTATTTTCAGTGCTCACCACAAGAAAATTAAGATTTTGTTACACTTCCATAAATTTTGCATTCTTGTCAAATTTTTAAAATATCAATTACAACAACTGTGTTTCAGTTGAAGACAGCTTTTCATTTTCTAAGCATTTTAACTATAAATAAAGTTTAAAGCAAAGTCCAAAGGATAAATATTTTAATTAAAAGATTTTTTGTTAAATGACAAAGGAACAAAACAGTCCAGCAGTGTTTATTCTGTACCACTGAGTAACCCGATTATTATATCGGCTACCAACAATCTAAATCATATTAAAGATCATGTTTTTATACAATCTTTAACATGAGAGAAAATTAGCTACTTAAAACATTCTTTTGAAGAGGATTAATGTAAAAATTTATACTTATATATATAATTTTTAAAACTAGGACATGACTCAAACTATCAACATCCTGTTTGCTTAAAAACATTGTGAAAATAAACATCAGACAAACTTTCTTAGTTTTAGGCAATTCAATTTAAATGCAGTCAAAGTAAAGTAGCACACAATAACACGGCGAAGGTAAAAATTTACTCTTACAAATATTAAAAAAAAAAAGGAAGACCGAAAGAAATTAAAAAAATTTAATAATATCATCTATAATTTAAAAAAAGCCTTTCATATAGTATTAATAAATATTAATTATGCATCACTGAAGGAAAAAATTTCATGTAATTAATTCTCTGTAAAAATTATTTGAAATTTAAGGTTAAAAATAGCTGTGGCAATTCACGGTAACCAAAATCCATAAACCACATTTGGCATTATTATTGCGTAAAAAAAAGATGCCAAATTTCAATACGTGAAAATATGTAAATTCATGTATATCTTATAAAATTTTGAATAAAAAACTCTAATTTTTTGCAGGTATGCTTAGAACTACGCCTACTTTAAGATGATGGTAAAAATTTTATAGATTATAATTCAAAAGTTTTTTTGAAAAATTTATAAAATTATTTAAAAATAGAAATTTTAAAAATAAAACAAAAAAATGGGTGAATTTTATTTGGAATGAACCTAAATTTCAAAATGTGAAAGGAAGAATAAAAAAAGTTTAGTAAAAAAGAGATATTAATAAATATATGCCAAATTCAATTAACATTGAGGAGCTAAAATTTTGAGAGCTTTTTTAAAAACCACTCTAACGATTTTTACAAACTGGGCAGTCTGGCGTAATTTGAATCGTAGAATCAAAATATGTAAAAAAGTTGTTATGTTATTTTAGAAAAAGTCCGATTTTGTGTCAAAATACCTCTGTTAGAATAGTGCTATATATAAATCTAATATATATCCTAAGTCAGGCTTTCTAGACATGAAAAACGCAATTTGAATTTTGTAAATAATAGGCCCAGTAGAACGGGAGATATAGAACTGTCCCCCCCCCTTTTTTTTTTCTGTGTACATGGAGATTACTTGTTTTCTGTATATCTTGTCTTTGGGAAAATTTTAACTTTAGAAATATATATTTCTGTTGCTGTATGAAAGCAAAGCATTCCTTTGTAGTTACTGTAAGCTGAAATGATATTAAGGCAAAGTAGCAAATACCATTAGTTTATATAAAAAGTTTTGAGTGTCTTTAATTTAAATTTATTTTTAACAAAATCACTCTTAGATGCCAGTTTTTTTCCTTAAAACATGAAAAAATAATGGTATAATAAATATGTAAACAATCAAGACAAATGAAAAACATGCCAAAATAAAACATAAAGTTTGGCAAAGCACCAACCTTTTTATTTGGCATAGAATTTAGTCAAGACTCTATCAGTTTGGAGTTCAAACATATATAGGTTCTTCTTTGCTCCTGATAAAGAGGGTCCTACACCTGTTTGCCGTTGAAATCGATAGAGTCTTGACCTGTGTCAGAACACAATGTTTTTGCTTTCCCTAATTTTATGCAGATGAT